TTATTTCATTTATCATTATACATGTTTAATAGATGTATAAAAAAAAATTGATCTCTTTAATCATAAAAATTGTGAAATAGTAGAGAATTTTAATGTGTAAAATTAAAACTTAGTAAAAGTAGATGTTGACATTGGATAATAATCTTACATTGTTGTCCAAGTATATATGAGATATAATTAAAAGTATTATATAAAATTTAACGGATTATAAATGAATCTCTAATCTTAGATATTAAATTACAAAATATAAAACAGTGAAGAACTCAATTATATTTTTCTTTAGTCTAATTAAAGACCTAATTTAAAATTCTCAAAAAAAAAAAAATTCATGACCAAAAGATACACTAAATTTTAATTAAATCATGAATCTATTTTTATGTTATAAATATGTTTGGATCTTAAAATATTTATATATAAAGATCTATATTTATCCTTTATCTATATATAGAATGTTAGATGAAGTTCTACTTTCATTCCATAATAATTGTTGTTTTAGATTGTTCTACTCAAATTAAGAAAAATTAATAAATAGATAAAAAAAAAAACATTTCCCACATCCCATAATAGGTGTCATCCTATATTATTTTATATAGACAAAAAATAATAATAAATAGGTAAAAAAATGGCTTTATATAATTAGTTTTATAATTAGTTTTCTTTATTAGAAATGGTACAATACAGAATTTACTTTCTATATTATAATATTAAATGTATAAATGAAAAAAATTAATTAATATTATATTAAAAAATTAATATAAACCTTATTTTTTTTCTTCTGATATAATATTTATTATTGAATAAAAAAGATAATAATTTTATAAAATTAATCTTACAATTAATATTTTTTTACTAAAAATAATATAATACAATAACTATTTTCTAAAAAGTAATATTAGAAATATAAATAGAAAATAAACTATGAATACTACTTGAAAAGCAATATAGTTTTTATGACTTAATTTTCTTTGATAGGAGACTTATTATAAGATTTTCATTTTTGAACTACCATTTCAAAACAACGTAGATCTAGAATATTCATTTCCAACCCACACAACACGTTTCAACCGTTCCCTCCAGACCCTCACGTACGTCACCCAGTTGAAATTCACACTTCTCCTTAGAATTAGATGACCTCGAGAACAAAATCCCTAGTGAACAACACCTCAAAGGTTTCTCATCAACCAATAAGATATCAAAACTAATGAATTTAAAACTGATAAAAAAATTTTACTCTATAAATTAATCTTATAAGATTTAATTAGATATAATATTATTTTTTTAATATAATATTAGAGTTTATTTAAAGAGACTCTCCCGAATTCAGACCCATCTTGGATAAAAAATCAACACACTAATTAATTCCCCTCCTATAAAGAATGTGTGAACTCCACAATAATAGATATAATAGTGTTATATCTATGAAATGGATCAAAATCTTCATGAATGAGTGACAAAGCATATAAAGAGTCTGAGGTACAAATAATATTCACTACAACACAAATAGTTTTTAGCAACATTTAAAAAATGTTACTTAATCATGTATAAATGTTATTAATTTGTTTTAGCAACATATTATCAAATGCAACATTTAAAAAATGTTACTTAATCATGTATAAATGTTATTAATTTATTTTAGTAACATATTATCAAATGTTGTATATAATTCATGTTGCTAAAGACTTTTAATAATCTTTTTATATAATTAGGTAACATTTTTCAAATGTTAGCAAAGTAATATTTTTGTAACATTTTAATGATGTTGCCAATATTTTGTTAATTTTATAAAATAATAATTAATTTTAATTTAAATATATTACTATCAATTATTATATTTTTATACCTCTTAAACTCCTAGAAATTCTTAATTATTTTTTTAGGGAAAGTTATGAGTCATTAATTTATTCGATGTGAGACTTTAATTATGGGTAATAATTAAAAATAAAAGAAATATACTTATTTTACTCGATATGAGACTTTGATTTTAGAAGCAATTATAGTAACATTTTAAGGAAAAAAATGTTACAAAATAACCTATATAAATTTTTTTTACTCGATATGAAACTTTAATTTTAAAAATAATTAAAAAAATATATTTAAATAAAAAATGTTACTCTATCTATAATGACATTTTTTAAAAAGTATTATAAAATAATCTATTTATTCAATATATATATAATATTTTAACAAATATAAAAAATAAAATATTACTAAAGAATTAAAATCTAATAGTAATAACACGCACTTGAGATGGGGTAGCTTTAGCAAAACAGCAATACTTGGTCTACAAAGAATAAATAAGAGAGCGAAAGAGCCCGTGGTGAAAAGCGAAAGGGTTCCAATCTACCTGCATTCACAACAGCCTTTAACATTAGTCCCAACTTCTCCATACATAGGAAAAACAAATAGGGTGAGAGGGGATCCCCTTACCTCAACTCGCTCTTAGCTATGAATGGTGGCAACCTATTTCCGTTCCACAAAATAGACATCAAGGAGGAAAAGATCCCTGCCAACACCATTTGAATAATATTAGTAGGAAAACCGTACTCTTGCAAAACTTGTTGAAGGAAAGACCATTCCACTCTGTCATAAGCCTTCTCAAGGTCCAACTTGAACACCACATCTCCCTGCTTCTTCTTAGACTTCCTCATACTGTGAATAATCTCCTGTAGGATACTCGCATTCTCTGCCGAGCTTCTCCCCAAGATAAAACTACTTTGAAGTGGGCTAACAATCCTTTGAAGTAAGGGTCACATTCTATTCACCAAGACTTTTGAGTCCAACTTATAAATTACATTACACAACACAAACTAATGGACCGAAAATCCTTAAATTGTTGTGGGTCATCATGCTTAGGTATGGGAACCATCATGACTTTTGTAACATTTGGACAAATGTGTCCCCTAGAGAAAGAGTCTCTGCTAACAAAATGCCACACATCATCACCCACCACCTCCTAAAATATGACTAGATAATATATTTAATTTTTAATTAGAAAAGACATGTTTTATTATATTAAATATATAACAATGTTAATAAATCTTAAAACGATATTTTATATTTTTCATTCAATTTAATTGTGTATTATTTTTTATTATAAAAGATTATATAAATAATTTTGAGGATAAACAATCAAAATAAGAAGAAAAAAAATGAAGGACTAAAATTAACTTAAAATAATTTTAGTGAGACAAAAAGATATTTTACCTTTTTATGAATATTGTACTACTAGGCACCCCCTTCGGTCACTAGGCACCCCCTTCGGTCACTAGGCACCACCTTCGGTGGCTAGACACCCCTCTCGGTCAAACGATAGGCCGAAGAGGGGACCCGAACCGAGGCAACACTAACCCTTTCGGCTAGAACCAAAGCCGAACACGTCCCTCGGATGAGAAAGCCACCTCAAGACTTATCTCGAAGATACCCCTTGGGCCATGGAGAAAACTCCTCGGCTTGAGGACAACCCGAAGACCTGTTCGGCCTCAGCACAGGCCGAATACGTTCTTGGTCTTAGGAGAAGCCAAGCACCTCCTCGGCCTAGGGGAAGGCCGAGTACCTCTTCGGCGCAGGGTCAAGCCGAGACCCCCTGAAGACAACCCAAAGCCTGTTCGGTCTCAACACAGGCCGAACACGCCATTGGACTTAGGATAAGCCGAACACCTCCTCGGCCTAGGGGAAGGCCGAATACCTCTTCGGCATAGGAACAAGCCGAAGCCCCCCTTTTCGGCTTTGGGCCCAGCCAAAAACCTTAACAGGGGTAGCCTACAAAATACACGGGGCAAATTAGACACTTGCCATACGTTAATTATCATGCCGGATTAAGAACAGATTAAGGTTAATCCAAAGGTTACCCGATTCCCAAGACTGAAGGCCCACCAGGCCCAATTATGTCACTATAAATACATAGGTGATGTGACATAAAGAGGTACGATTTACTCCATATAAAAGCTCTATCTGCTCTATACCGAATACTTACTTGATCGTCGAAGTGCCTTTGCAGGTACCCTCCCCACCCTTCGGAGATAGTATTCGGTCAGCTTGAAGACTTAAAAGAAGACCAAGAAGAAGGAACGACAAGAGGAGTGTTTCTACGCAGGAACATTTTGGCGCCCACCGTGGGGCCGAAACCGTAGCGGTTCTCGACCCTAGAGCAAGATGGTATTAACAAGGAGTCAACAAGACAATGTTGCGACCGAGTACCCTTACGGGATGCCCCGAGACAACCCTAGACGACAGACTAACCAGAATGAGGACGGTATGGAAGAGTCATATGTGGACAGGTCTCAGCAACCTAACCCGTCATCGGCCATCGAGCAACTGAAGGCCGAAATGATGGAACTCAGAAAGCTCCGAGAAAAGGACGCCCATGAGTTATCGGTCTTGAGAAAAGAAAATGCCGAACTCAGGAGTGATAACCGAACATGGCATCCGTCTCACGAGATCCCCAACACCCAGTCAACACGGGATCAGGGAGAGTCATCCGGATGGTACAAGGAAACGAGGGACCCTAGGCCCACAACGGGAGCAACAACTACTACTCTCGATCAGCAGCGGCGACAAGGAAGGACCCCATTCACCCCGGACATTGCCGGAGCCCGTCTCCCTGACAACTGGAAAAACTTAACTCTGGAGAAATATGATGGCACCACAGACCCAGAAGAACACCTGGATGCGTTCGTTACCCAGGTTGGCTTATACACCGAGGACGATGCAATCATGAGTAAGGTCTTCCCCACCTCGTTGAAAGGTCCAGCACTTAATTGGTTCACGAGACTTCCACCTCCATTGCTTTGGTCAACATACGTCAAGAAAAGAAAGAATTGCTGAGAACTTTCATGGAGAGGTTCGGAAAAATGACGTTATCCATTCGGAATCTGGACCCTGCCGTGGCTATGCATCACCTAACCACGACTTTACGACCTGGACCCTTCGTCAACAGCCTATGCAAGAAACCACCCCAAGACTTGGACGACCTATGACAGAGAGCCACGAAATATATGCAGATGGAGGAGCTCGCCGAGTTCCGAAGCCAAAATCGATCCGACCAATTTCCCTCAAAGAAAGAAAGTGATAAGGAACCGCCCAGGCCACGCCATAGAGACGTACCAGATCGTGACAAGAGTAATAGGGGGCCGAGGTATGTGCAGTACACGCCACTCAACACCAGCAGGGCCAAGGTGTTGGAACAAGCCCTGGCAACTGAAGTCTTGGCCGTCCCCCGAAGAGCAATAACTCCACCACGAACCGATAAGACAAAGGTATGTCAGTTTCACCGGAATAGAGGGCACACTACGGAGGAGTGTTCCGCCCTCCGTGATCGAATAGAGGACCTTATTAAGGCCGGGCACCTTCAAAACTTTGTCCAATCGATTGACAACCGAAGGAGTGACCCCCGCCCCGGAAGGGGGGAGTACAATAGGGATAACCAAGATCATGCACTACCGAGGAATCGGTCCCGAGAACGCAGCAGGTCTCAAGATAGAAATGAGCAGCGAAATCGTAATCAGCCCAGGCGGGTGATAAACACCATTGCCGGAGGCTTTGCGGGAGGAGGAAGCTCTTCCTCGGCCCGGAAGAGGCATTTGAGGGCCATCAAATCGGTCAACGCTATAAGACGGCATCCCCCATTCGTATGCCCCCTATCACGTTCACTAACCAAGATTTTCAAGGAGTCGACCCAGTGCAAGATGATCCCATGGTCATCAGCGTAGAAATCAATAATTGCATCGTGAAGAAGACTTTGGTCGATCAAGGCAGTTCGGCAGATATCTTATACTGGAAGACTTTTGAGCAGTTGGGCATACCGGAGCAGGAATTGACGCTGTACGGCGAACCCTTGGTCGGATTCTCGGGTGAACGGGTGGACACCCGAGGGACGATAGAGTTATATACCTACTTCGGGGAAGACCAACGTAGGCGGATCAAAGTACGATACGTTGTGGTGAGCGTGAACACATCGTACAACATCCTTTTAGGGAGACCTTCCCTGAACAAGCTACGAGCCATCGTTTCCACTCCTCACTTGGAAATGAAATTCCCATCCGAAGAAGGCGAAGTCATCACACTACATGCCGATCAAAAGATAGCCCGCAAATGTTACCTCGCCAGCTTGAAAGTACAGCCAACTCCGAAGGCAAGCCAAGGACGAGAAGTCAACGTCATCGGGGAGGTTGGCCAACACGAGACAATGGGGGATTTAGAACTCGACCCCAGAGTAGAAGACGAACACAGGGTCGAACCAACCGAGACAACAATTCCTTTCCAACTCGGAAAGATGCAGGAACAAGTCACATATCTAAGCTCTCAATTGACGGAGACTGAAGCAGGAGACATTAAGCGTGTTTTGCTAAAGTATTCAGATCTATTCGCCTGGACAGCGGCCGATATGCCAGGCATTGATCCCACTTTCCACTGCCACCGTTTCTCGGTTTGCCGAGATGCCAAGCCAATTGCGCAGAAAAAGAGGAAAATAGGAGGAGAAAGGTCCCAAGCAGTAAAAGACGAAACGACTAAGCTGCTACAGGCAGGATTCATCAGGGAAGTAAAGTATTCCACTTGGTTGGCTAATGTAGTCATGGTCAGGAAGGCAAATGGCAAGTGGCGAATGTGCACTGACTACACGGACCTCAACAAGGCATGCCCAAAGGACGCCTACCCCCTCCCACACATTGATGTGTTGGTTGACAGAGCGGCAGGACACCAAAGGCTAAGCTTCCTCGACGCATACTCGGGGTACAACCAAATACCTATGTATCCCTCGGACGAAGAAAAAATGGCTTTCATAACGGACTCGGCCAACTTTTGCTACAGAGTAATGCCCTTCGGCCTGAGGAACGCGGGAGCAACCTACCAGCGCCTCATGAACAAAATTTTTCAGAAACAGATCGGAACATGCCTGGAAGTGTATGTTGACGACATGGTGATTAAATCTACCTCGGCCAGTGACCACTTGAAAGACCTCGGCACAATATTTGAGGAAGTAAGGCGGCACCACATGCGGCTAAATCCCGCAAAGTGCACCTTTGGGGTAGCGGGGGGAAAATTCCTGGGATTCATGTTATCTAATAGAGGCATAGAGGCCAACCCCGACAAGTGTCAGGCTATTATCAATATGCAAAGCTCGCGCAACATCAAAGAGGTGCAACGGTTAGCCGGACGCATTGCTTCCTTGGCTCGTTTTCTCCCCTGCATGGCCGAGAAGTCGAAGCCCATAATGTCCCTATTAAAAAAGGCTACCAAGTTCCAATGGAGTGAGGGATGTGAATCAGCTTTTCAGAACTTGAAGACAATACTCGCGACCCCACCTTTGTTGACCAAGCCTGACCCCCAGCTGGATTTGATAGTGTACATATCAGTGTCGGACAAAGTCATTAGCACCGTCCTGGTACAAGAAAGAACCGAACAAAAGCTGGTATATTTTGTCAGCCGGGTACTACAGGATGCCGAGACAAGATATCAGCACCTCGAGAAGACAGCTTTAGCTCTCGTGCACACCGCCCGACGCCTCCGGCATTATTTTCAGAGTCACCGGGTGCTGGTCCGAACGGATAGCCCCATAACTAAAGTCTTGCGCAAACCAGAATTGGCAGGACGAATGGTTACTTGGTCCATCGAACTGTCACAATTTGAAATCCGTTTTGAACCTAGAGGACCCATTAAAGCACAAAGTTTGGCTGACTTCGTGAACGAATTCGCGCCATCAATGCTTCCCGAGTCCGACCTTTGGACTTTACACGTGGATGGATCCTCTAACCAACAGGGTAGCGGCGCAGACATCATTCTAGAAGGCCCAGGTAGAGTTGTGATTGAACAGTCACTACGGTTCGGCTTCAAAACGTCCAACAACCAAGCCGAATATGAAGCTCTCCTGGCAGGACTGAGGTTGGCTTATGATTTAGGCATCACAACAGTTCAGTGTTTTAGTGACTCACAAGTGGTAACAGGGCAAGTCAACGGCACTTTCCAGGTTAAAGAGCCGACGCTGCTTTTATACTTCCATGCTTTCCAGAAACTAAAAAATAGTTTCAAAATTGTTCAAGTCATATACACCCCCCGGGAACACAACACCCGGGCCGACCAGTTGGCCAAACTAGCTAGCACCAAGAAAGCTAGTCATTTGCGAAGCATGATGCAGCATGAGCTGCTGAGACCAAGCATTAATGAAGCCGAGTCTATGCAGGTTGAGCAGAAAAACCACTGTTGGATGAACGCCTTAGCACACCATCTTCTTACCGGGGAATTACCAGAGGATCCTCGCGAAGCTAAGAAATTGAGGGTTAAAGCAGCACGATACACCTTAATTGCCGGAGAATTGTATAAGCGAAGCTTGTCGGCTCCACTACTGAAGTGTCTCGCCCCTGAACAGGCACAATACGTCCTACGAGAGATTCACGAAGGTATTTGTGGAACCCACTCAGGAGGCCGGACCCTGGCAGCTAAAGTCATCCGCGCAGGATATTATTGGCAAACTTTGGCCACGGATTGTATTGAATTTGTTCAACGATGCCAACCATGCCAACAATTCGGTCCGTTAGTGCATCAACCCCCGGAAGAGTTGCACTCTATCACCGCCCCTTGGCCATTTTCCATTTGGGGGTGTTAAGTCTCAATTTAATTAACTTAAAATAATTTTAGTGAGACAAAAAGATATTTTACCTTTTTATGAATATTGTACTACTAGGCACCCCCTTCGGTCACTAGGCACCCCCTTCGGTCACTAGGCACCACCTTCGGTGGCTAGACACCCCTCTCGGTCAAACGATAGGCCGAAGAAGGGACCCGAACCGAGGCAACACTAACCCTTTCGGCTAGAACCAAAGCCGAACACGTCCCTCGGATGAGAAAGCCACCTCAAGACTTATCTCGAAGATACCCCTTGGGCCATGGAGAAAACTCCTCGGCTTGAGGACAACCCGAAGACCTGTTCGGCCTCAGCACAGGCCGAATACGTTCTTGGTCTTAGGAGAAGCCAAGCACCTCCTCGGCCTAGGGGAAGGCCGAGTACCTCTTCGGCGCAGGGTCAAGCCGAGACCCCCTGAAGACAACCCAAAGCCTGTTCGGTCTCAACACAGGCCGAACACGCCATTGGACTTAGGATAAGCCGAACACCTCCTCGGCCTAGGGGAAGGCCGAATACCTCTTCGGCATAGGAACAAGCCGAAGCCCCCCTTTTCGGCTTTGGGCCCAGCCAAAAACCTTAACAGGGGTAGCCCACAAAATACACGGGGCAAATTAGACACTTGCCATACGTTAATTATCATGCCGGATTAAGAACAGATTAAGGTTAATCCAAAGGTTACCCGTGCAGAACAAGAAAGTAGTGACATATGCTTCAAGGCAACTAAAGAATCATAAGAGGAATTATCCTACTCATGTCTTGGAGTTGGCAGCAGTTATTTTTGCCTTGAAGATATGGAGGCATTATTTGTATGGTGCTCGGTTCAGCGTCTTCAGTGATCACAAGAGTCTGAAGTACCTGTTTGATCGAAAGGAGTTGAACATGAGGCAAAGACGGTGGATAAAATTTATGAAAGATTATGATTTTTAACTGATGTATCAGCCTGGAAAGGCCAATGTAGTGGCGGATGCGCTGAGTAGGAAATTCATCTACATGTCTAGTATGATGGTGAAAGAGCTGGAACTGGTGGAGGAATTCAGAGATTTGAATCTCTATGTGGAGCTAGCTCTGGATCACATTAGTTGTGGGATGACTACCATAACTAGTGAGTTCTTGAGGCAGGTTGGATTGAAGCAGTTGCGGGATGTAGAGCTGGTGAAGATTCTTGGTTTGCTGGGTACTGAGAAGGCAATGGGTTTTGAGCTGGGCAGAGATCGGATTTTTGAGGTTTAAGGGCAGAATTTGCCTACCTCATGATTCTGAGCTGAAGAAAGCTGTTATGGAGGAATGCCACAAGAGTAGACTTAACATACATCCTGGTATGACTAAGATGTACCAAGACCTCAAGAAAACTTTCTGGTGGTCTAGTATGAAGAGGGACATAGCTGAATATGTGGCGCCCTGTCTGACTTGTCAGAAGGTGGAGCACCAAAATTCGGGTGGTTTGTTGCAGCAGATGGAAATTCCAGAGTGGAAATGAGATAATATCACTATGGATTTCATCGTGGGATTGCCTAGGTCGGCTAGGATCAATGATGCTATCTGGGTGATTGTGGATCGGTTGACCAAGTGTGCACATTTCTTGCCTGTCAACATCAAGTGGTCCTTGGAGAAGCTAACACAGTTGTATGTGAGGGAAATCGTACGGTTGCACGGGGTGCCTTCCAGTATTATTTTAGACAGAGATCTGAGGTTCACTTCCAGATTTTGGCAAAGTCTACATCAAGCCTTTGGCACAAAGCTAAGGTTAAGTTCTGCTTATCATCCACAGATGGATGATCAGTCAGAGAGGACAATTCATTCCTTGGAGGATTTGCTGAGGGCTTGTGCGTTAGACCACTTGGGAAGCTGGGAGGAAGTCCTACCGCTGGTGGAGTTCACGTACAATAATAACTTTCATGATAGTATTGGGATGGCGCCATTTGAAGCCTTGTATGGTAGGAGGTGTAGGACTCTTCTATGCTAGTATCAAGATGGTGAGTCAGTGGTTGTGGGGCCAGAGCTGATCCTACAGACTACTGAGAAGGTGAAACTGATTCAGGAGAGGATGAAGACTGTTCAGAGTAGGTAGAAATCTTATGTTGATAAAAGGAAAAAGCCTTTGGAGTTTGCTGAAGGGGAGCATATGTTTTTGAAGGTGACCCCAACCTTTGGTGTGGGAAGAGCGCTGAAGGCAAAGAAGTTGACACCTAGGTTTATTGGTCCCTATCAGATCATCCATCGTGTGGGTCCGGTCGCTTATCGGTTGGCCTTGCCACCGTCTCTCTCAAACCTACACGATGTGTTTCATGTATCCCAGCTGAGGAAGTATGTTCATGACCCTGGTCATGTGGTTGAGTTGGATGATGTGCAGGTGAAGGAGAACCACCCGAACCGAGGCAACACTAACCCTTTCGGCTAGAACCAAAGCCGAACACGTCCCTCGGATGAGAAAGCCACCTCAAGACTTATCTCGAAGATACCCCTTGGGCCATGGAGAAAACTCCTCGGCTTGAGGACAACCCGAAGACCTGTTCGGCCTCAGCACAGGCCGAATACGTTCTTGGTCTTAGGAGAAGCCAAGCACCTCCTCGGCCTAGGGGAAGGCCGAGTACCTCCTCGGCTTGAGGACAACCCGAAGACCTGTTCGGCCTCAGCACAGGCCGAATACGTTCTTGGTCTTAGGAGAAGCCAAGCACCTCCTCGACCTAGGGGAAGGCCGAGTACCTCTTCGGCGCAGGGTCAAGCCGAGACCCCCTGAAGACAACCCAAAGCCTGTTCGGTCTCAACACAGGCCGAACACGCCATTGGACTTAGGATAAGCCGAACACCTCCTCGGCCTAGGGGAAGGCCGAATACCTCTTCGGCATAGGAACAAGCCGAAGCCCCCCTTTTCGGCTTTGGGCCCAGCCAAAAACCTTAACAGGGGTAGCCCACAAAATACACGGGGCAAATTAGACACTTGCCATACGTTAATTATCATGCCGGATTAAGAACAGATTAAGGTTAATCCAAAGGTTACCCGTTGGAGGATTTGCTGAGGGCTTGTGCGTTAGACCACTTGGGAAGCTGGGAGGAAGTCCTACCGCTGGTGGAGTTCACGTACAATAATAACTTTCATGATAGTATTGGGATGGCGCCATTTGAAGCCTTGTATGGTAGGAGGTGTAGGACTCTTCTATGCTAGTATCAAGATGGTGAGTCAGTGGTTGTGGGGCCAGAGCTGATCCTACAGACTACTGAGAAGGTGAAACTGATTCAGGAGAGGATGAAGACTGTTCAGAGTAGGTAGAAATCTTATGTTGATAAAAGGAAAAAGCCTTTGGAGTTTGCTGAAGGGGAGCATATGTTTTTGAAGGTGACCCCAACCTTTGGTGTGGGAAGAGCGCTGAAGGCAAAGAAGTTGACACCTAGGTTTATTGGTCCCTATCAGATCATCCATCGTGTGGGTCCGGTCGCTTATCGGTTGGCCTTGCCACCGTCTCTCTCAAACCTACACGATGTGTTTCATGTATCCCAGCTGAGGAAGTATGTTCATGACCCTGGTCATGTGGTTGAGTTGGATGATGTGCAGGTGAAGGAGAACCTGACTTTTGAGAAGTTGCCTGTAGCTGTGGTTGATTACAAGCTGAAGGAGTTGAGGGGCAAGTCCATTGCTTTGGTGAAGGTGTTGTGGGATGCAGCTACTGGTGAGGCTACTTGGGAAGTTGAGCAGCAGTGCAGGGAGCGGTACCCTTTCCTATTCCTAAGTAAGTCTATTTTCGGGGATGAAAATTCCTGTTGTTGGGGAGGTTGTGAGACCCCTCCCGCTACTTCCTTTCTTCCTTTCAACAATTCCTTCACTTTCCACTTTCTTCTTCCCTACTCTCTCTACTCACCTTGCCGGTTCCTTCTCATTCTTGGTGATTCTAGGTGTTGAGAGCTAGCTGAGACGCAAACTCTTCTTTATCCGTTCTTCATTTTCTCAAGCTTCTTCTTCTCTTTCCACTTTCCCGGAAGCTCGAAATTCTTCACCGAGGTAAGGGAAGCTAGGTTTTTGGCTGAATTGGTTGGAAATGAGTTTATAAACTCATGTGTGGTTGATTTTCTGAAGATTGATGAGTTATTTTGATGAAAATCCATTTTTCGGGGTTTCGGGGTTATGGGTGAAAATTTGGGATTTTTCTTGTTTGATGGTTGCATGCTGAAAATGATTTGGTTTTCATGTTGTGGGATGAAAATGTGGTTCTTTGGAGGGTTTGCATGTGTTTGGACTGTTGGAGTTTTGCAGATTTGGAGAAAATTTTTGAACTTGGAGAGTTATTGTTTGGTAGCACGTCGGGCACAGTTCTTAGCGCCGGGTGCGTGACCATTAGAGGGCTCTATTGGTCAAGCCTGCCGGGCCAAGGTTGTGTTCGCCAGGCGAGCTTGAGGATGGATGCCCCTGGATGGCTCACGCCGGGCGTGGTTGGACTACGCTGGGCGCGTTATCAGTTAGGGACTCACTTTGTTGCGGTTCTGGTATGGTGCCGGGCGTGACCAAGTCTTGCCGGACGTGGAGACTCCTTGGGAGTCTCTGCCAGGGGTGGCGCCGGGCACAATTGGTATTGCGCTGGGCGTGAGACCTTTGGGAGGTCTTTGCCTTCCTTGCGCCGAGCACAGGTTTGGCACGCCGGGTGTGTGAGACTTCTTGGAGTCTCTACCTCCTAGCACGCCGGGCGTAATTAGAATTGCGTCGGGTATGTTTGAGTCTTGGAGCTCTCTGGTTGGGCCACGCCGGGCGCAACCATGAGTGCGCCAGGCGTGGATGTGTACTTCTTCATAAGCTGATATATGCTGATTTAAGCTGTTAATGATGAATGTTGTTGAGCTGAGTGATGATTTTGATGTGCGGTGAGATGTTTATGCTGAATTATGATGTTAAGCTGTATTGTTGTAAAAGTTGAGCTGTGTTGTATGTTGTATGTTGTTAATGATGTTATGTTGTGTTGTGCTGCATGCTGATATAAACTATTGTAGGCCGTAAG